ACAAGTGTACTCGGAGATTGTTTTTGGGCAAGTAAGTGAATGAACAAATAACTAAAATAATGAATGAGACAAAAAGAGGAAAACCCTTACTTTAATTGCCAGCACTAATTCCCAAAATTTAGAAGGGACATTTAATCTCAAACCAGGAGGAAAACATCTTTGAATACAATTACTTACTGCGTAAGTATTTCTTGAAACCACAGTATACACCGTGGCTGAAGTACAGAGGGCCCTTCCTCCTTACGTAGAAGACATTTCTCTGGTTGGCACAGCCCCACTGGCTGGGCTTGCAAGGAGCAAGCTGTTCCCAAAATGGCAAAGACTCACTGACAACTATTTAAACTGCCTTTTTTTTATGTTCCCCTACACACATCTCTTCCTCTTTGGCCTGAGGCTGCCTGGAGGGAAGAAGTAAACATTTTTTATTTTTTTTAAATAGGTACTTGCTTTGAACCAGGCACAAAAACTGGTGCTCACAAAATTGTGACATGTATTGCTCAGCTTGATCCCTGTGAAGGAAAGCAGATTGCCTCCATTTTTCAGAAGAAGGAACCGAGGCTCAGAAAGGAACAGCGACTTGTCCCAATGTCACAGAATGTTCCAAATTCTGTTGTGCTTCTCACATGCATTCCTGATTATAATTAACCAGATTTCTGGTCTTCATTCTTAAGAAAACAAGAACAGCTATGATGATTATTGACATGAAATGCATTACCTGTTGTTGTGCATGCGTTTTTCACAGGGACAAGTATAAATGTGCTCTTCTAGGAGTGCAGCGTGAGGGAGAGGAAGAGGGACTTTGCCTGGAATGCAAACTATTTTATCTGATTCATTACTGAATTTCACAGAATTCAGAGCATTTGAAGGCAGATGCACTTTGCCATTGCTTGTCAGTCACAGGCTTACCAAGGAAGAGGAATTCCAGGCCTAAGAAAGGGTCCCTTTGTCTGGAACTGTAACTGGTCCATCATTAGAGACAAAGGGTTCAGTTTCAATTGGAATCTAAATAACGATTAACAGCCTTTTCATTCAATGGCCTGGCTGAGAACAGTCTCCAAAGCAGAACTTTATGTGAAGTTGCTTCACTCAAGCCCTCCTCCTCTTGCCTCTGAGTCTGCTTAGGGGGTGGTAATGCCTGGAAGATGACCCCACGTCACAAAGGAGGCTGGAATCAGTGTTCTGGGTCACTCCTGGCCACCCTGCTCTCTGAGCTCCTGTCTCTCAGCCCCTTGGACAGTATGCTCTCAAGGCTGATTTTCCTCTCCCCCCACCCCCACCCTTGGTGGCCTTGGGGTAGGAAGCTACACTGCAACCCCGAAGGCACATGGTTAGAATTCACAAATCATTCCATGGTAGAAGGATGGCATTCTCCTCTGTAATTCACTGCCTTTGAATATGTTACAACTCAACAGCATACAACAACAACAAATCTGCCAGATCCTTCCCATTTCCTTCACTCTCTCCCTCCACCCACCAAATTGTGCAACCCTGTGGTTTCACCCCTACCCATCCTATCCCTCCGCTCCCACCTCTCCCCTCCTTGGGTTCTCGTGCATGCTTTACTAGTTATCCTTCTATGTTTAAAATAATGGTCTGATGCTGTGTTTGTCCTCATAAGATCTGAAGAAACAGGGTAATGATGGACAAGGTCCAATGGCAACTACCTTTATATAACATCATGCATGGGAATAATTGTATGACACACAATGTGAATGAAGAATAGTGTGAAAAATAATGTATGTGAACTTCGTAAGCAAACCAATATACAATTTAAAAAAACCAACACGGGAACAAAGAAATTATGATGGGGGGGGAAATCTGCATTCAGGCAGAAAGTCTTGTTGTCTGTTGTTGTTTGGGATCATTGAGTTGCTTTTTCCCTTATTCCAAACCCATGTGACAGAGTAGTACTGCACCCGAGGGTTTTGTAAGCTGTAAACCTTTACATGTCTTGAAGATAAGTGTTGGAGAGGATGTTGTCAGAGTGCTCCTTTGAAGATAAAAGATAGCAAAGCTTCGTCCCACATACTTTGGGCATGTTGTGAGGAGAGACTAGTCCTTGGAGAGGGACATTATACTTGGAAACGTGGAGGGTTGGGAAAAGATGGGAAGATCCACAACCAGGTGAATTGACACAGTAACAGTAGCAATGGGCTCAACTTCGCCAGGGATGTTGAGGTTGGCACAGGATGAGTCAGGATTCAGATCTGATGTTCACAGGCTTGCTATGAGTTGTACTCGACTCAACAACACCTAACAACAACAACAAACCTTTGTGAGAGCAGATCACACGTCTTTTTCCAGTGGAGTGGTTAGGTGGACTTGAACAACCCACCTTTGGGTTAGCAGCTGAGTGTTTAGCCATTACACTACCAGGGTTTCTGTAGAAAGCCTGGAACTTGGAAAATCACAGATCAAATTCAAGTCTTACTTGAATCAGTCAAAAGATTTTTAGATAGAGTGTAGTTACAATTTTTTGATTCCCCTCACAAAAATTATAAAGCGATCTGAGTTCTTTTTAAAGTCCATTTCTCTGTCTGCCTCAATATGTTCATAGATATTGGCTGCATCAGGAAAGAGAACAAAATCCTCTGCTGTGGAGTTCAGTCAGACTCACAGTGACCTCCTGCGGGTTTTCTGAGGCTGTAAATCTCTACATGAGGAGACAACCCATCTTTCTCCCAAGAAGAAGCTGGCGAGTTCTAACCAGTGGATTTTCAGCTCCCAACCTGATTCATTGTTATTGTTGTTGTTGTTGTTGTTGTTAAGTGCTTTCAAGTCGTAGGCAACTCATAGCAACCCTATGAACTAAAGTCCTCAACACTTGTGTGACTTTCATCCTCTCTCCAGGTTCATAGGGTTTCTGGAGGCAAGCTATTATGGAAGTGGATGCTACTCCTGTTTCCAAGCTTGTTTTAATCGGGGAGCTCCACCAAACTGTGTCCACCATGGGTAACCATTAACACATTTGACACATCAGTGCCGTGTGTTCAGCTTCACAGCAACCATGAGTACCTCTGTATGGCAAGTGGACACACTGGGGCTATATGACCTAGAAAAATATTTGAACAAAAACAATGAAAGACAGGCCTGAGGACCGTGGATTAAAAGTCACGCACCTTTGGCTTGACACCAGGAAATAGAAGTCATCATCAAATAATTATACACTTGGAAGAAAAGTAAAAAAAATCTGGGTTACCATAGAGTGTAAAGGAAAGAGCTGAGATGTTGATAGCAATGCTAGCCCTTTCCAAACTGACTGACAGTGTGAGGATTAAATGCTCATAAAATGAGTCACAATGACACACATTGGGAGCTGGGTTAACAATGCAGTAATTTCTATACCTAATGTTCTCATGACAGAAGAATTGACGCCTTTGAGCAGTTGTGTTGAGAAGAATACTGAACATCCATCCCAAGGACTGCCAAAAGAACAAACAAAGATCTCTTGGAAGAGGGTGCAGCAGCAGTGCTCTTTAGATGCAAAGATGATGAGGCTTTGCCTCACATACTTTGGGCATGTTGCTAGAAGGGGCTAATCTTTGGAGAGAAGCATGATGCTTATAATGGTGGAGGGTCAGCAAAAGAGAGGAAGACCTTGACCAGGTGGATTGACATGGTGACTGTCACAATGGGATGTAGTGTGAGGAAATGTGAGGATGGCACAGGACAGGACAGGGTTCAGATCCATTGTTCATAGATCACTACAGGTCATACTTGACTTGCTGGCACATAACAACAATAACAACAGCAACAACGTTCTGAGCTGTTTACCGTTAGATTATACTTTTCTATATTGCCATATGCCTTCTGCATCAGTGTATCTATTTCTAATATGGGGCTAAATATTTCACACATTTTAGTATGGAGTGGCGAATTATGTCCATCATATTTGGCAAAATGTTCATCTTTAGGAGGTTGTCAAGGAGTGGAATAGCCCGGATGGAGAACAGGAGGGGTGTCATCCAAAGGCGAGCAGAGACTGTGACTCTGTTTCTCCATTAGAAGCAAAGAAGCCAGGGGATAGGAGAAAGCAAGGGGTTGTGAGGAATGGAGGTGAGAGGACGGCGAGATTCAGGCTAGACATGGGGCTGTAGGCTGGTTCTAACACCCTCCCCGCTTCTTCTCTTGCACTTCCCTGGTGTTTGGCCACTCTGAGATTGGTCCTGAGGAGGCACCAGGGCAAAATGATACTTGAAGGGATAAGAACACCCAGTGCTGGGGGACAGCCATTCAGGACAACATTTGTGTCACCTGTAAGCCTTCTATCCACTAGGGCTTCTCCTCTTGGGCCCAGGGGCTTCTGTTGAAGACACCATTTTCTCTTGTCTGTCCACATTTCCCTAAGTTTTCTACATTTGTACCATCATCTTTAACCCTGATGAACTGAGAAGGAATCAAAGGATCTTGGGGTCTCAGGGCTTAAATTCCCCGTTTGAACGGAGGCCCACAATTCCCACTGCAGCTGGGCTTAACATTCTTTCTTTAAGATGGCTCTCATATCACTTCTTCCCAATAATCTGCACAGAGCCATCACAGGTCTAAGACGGGGGGAGGTGCCTACCATGTACCCATAATCCCTGTACTTTGTTTATGCCGAACTACTTCATTTCTGTTTGTCTCCCAATAGACTGTGAATTCTGGGAGACAGATTCATGTCTTCTACAACCCAATATAATTAATAATCTCCACAATGCGTAGGCCAGAAGGGATCTTCAAAAGTATTGAGCAAATGCTTGTATTGGGCTCTAGTCCTCACCCATCTCATTTCTCATGAGTATTTACAAGTTGAGGATACATTGAAGTAATGTTTTTCCACCCCACACCATGACTATAAAGACTTCATAGGTTTCTTGCAGAAAATAAAAACAAACAAAAAATGTTAACGTATGAATCTAATTGAACAAACCAACCAGACACTATTTGCAGTCTGGCGTCTAGCTGTGCCCCTTTGCTGCCAAGCCTATAAAAGCCTCTTCTGTCTTTACCCCCAGACTTACCAGTAATGTCCGCATGCATTTGCACAAAAAGCGGGTTCTTGCTCAGGCCCCCACACAGGAAGAGAGTACTGATAGAGTGCCCTGCTGCCTGCATGGCCTCTATAATGTGGCGGGTTCCAAACTTAAAGAGAAAAAAGCACAAGAAGGCATCATTAGGATGGGAACAGTAGTAAATGATATTGAACATGTGCTAAGTGTTTACCAAGTGTTAGACACTGCACTAAGGGCATTTCACATTATCTCTTCAAGCTGAGGCTCAGAGAGATTGTTGCCTAGCACCGCACAGTTAATGAAGTTGCAGGGTGAGAATTCCAACGCGGGCTTGTTTGACTCTCAGCCCCCTTAATTATGACACCCTTTGCTTCTATCAGTAGCAACACAGTCTTGACAGAAACAATGCCTTGACAGTGTTAGCAGAGGTAATACTAACACCATCCATTCAAACAGTCACTTGACGAGTGTCTGTGGTGGCTTATGCCCTTCATGTACTCGGAATAGAATGATTTGCAACGGTTCTCTGAGTTTAACAGATTCAGTCATTTATTATGACTTTTAATTATGAATTATAACGAAAGGCGGTTGTTCTTTGGACAAAGCACAAAATCTAGAAGCGAAAATGAGAAATATCTGAAACCAAACCCACTGCCAATGAATTGATTCCAGCTCATAATGACCCTCTACAGGGGTTCTCAGGCTCATGTACATCATCATGGAAAGAAGCTGTGCATCTTTATCTCCTGGAGCAGCTCAGCTAGTAGATTCAAATTGCTGACCTTTTGGTGAACAATAACAGACTTAAGGCACTACACCACCAGAGCTCTTTAGAAAGGTGCAATTCATTCACTCATTGCTGCCTGGTCAGAATTCGCTCAGAGCTGACCCTCTAGCAGGTTTTTAGAGGCTGTAAATTGCAAGGCAGATCTCAAGGTCGCAGCATTACTTCCTGTGGACAGCGCCATTAGTGTCATAGACGCCAAGAGGGTTCTCATTACATAATAAGGTGAGATCAAATGATGGAGGCGGCAAAGGGCTAGAATTACACTTGTTATCACCAGAAATTAGGTAGCAATTCTGTAATAATGACCTTTCAGAGACAAAATACGTTCTCATTTCATTCTTAATGACAGTCATCTGATGATTGGGTTGGTTCAAAGAGTTTGTTTTCTTTTTATTTCCATCCGTTGCTTTATTGTCGCCCTAAAATGCGTTATCCATCATCCACATTCTTGTCTTGCTAAATATCCTCAGCTTAATAAATGTCTTTGAGGTTTCACAAAGAGGTCACTGCCTTAAGCGATCAAAAGAAAGTCTGCCATACAATTGTTTAGATTGATCTGAGACATCTGAATACCTGAAAATTCCAATTAGATTGCAAGTTCAAAATCACAATTAATTTGACATAAGGATTCCAAACAAAAATATGAACTGTGATATGGCCTTAAAGAGGTGGCTGAATGGTAAACGTTGAGAAATGGGCTCCAGAGGAAAACAGAGATGTTTGCCCCCTCAAGCACAAATTTAAATTCACTGCTGCTGCAGCAGTATGGACTCCAGCAAGTTTTCAGAGGCTAGAAATTGCATGAGAGGAGACTGCCCGTCTTTTTCCTGCAGAGCGTCGGTGGATTTGAACCAGCTGCCTTTGGGTTGCTGGTGCAACTCCCTGCTGATTAGACCACTAGATCTCTTTGTTTATTAAGTTGTTGTTGCTGATGTTGTTGTTATGTGCCGTCGAGTCGCTTGTGACTCATAGTGACCCTATGTACAACAGCCCTAAACTCTGCTCTGTCCTGTGCCAATTGCACCATCTCCAATACACCCATCCTGATTTCCCCAGTCACTGAATCAATCCACCTCACAGAGGTCCTTCCTCTCCTACGCTGTCCCTCCACCCTACCAAGCATTATGCCCCTCTCCTTACAACATGACCAAAGTATGTCAGATGAAGCCTCACAATCCTTGCCTCCAAGGAGTCGCCTGGTTTAACCCTCTCCAGGATGAAGCTGTTTGTTTTCCTAGCAGTCCATGGTACCTTCAACACTCTTCTCCAGAACCACAGCTCAAAGGCATAAATTCTCCTTCTATCCTCCCTGGACATTGTCCAACTCTCTGATGCATAACAAGTGATTGCAAAGACCATGGCCTGTGAATTTTTGGAGGGTAGAACTCTTGAAATGGTTAGAGGTTGAGCAGTGTGGTAGTGATAGTGATGGAGCTCTGACAATGTCTGGTTGTGGACACGGCCCCAAGCTGCTAACAGAGAGGGTAGAGAAGGTCAGTGGAGATAAGGAGGTCAATGATCTGAGAGGATGAAGTGTCTATACAAATGGGGCTGTAATCAAAAGGCTAGGGCTAGAAAGAGAACATAAACAACTGAAAAGTTGTTAGTAAAGTGAAAGATTAAGACAAAGAGTTTGGAAGGAGTCTCCACATTCACCATACTCAGGCCATGAGGGAGTGGGCTGTAAGTGAACTAGAGAGTTTCTAGATGCAAGAGTGATGAGAGGGTGATCTGTGGTGCACCTCAGAACATGGGATTATGATCCTTTAGAGTAAAGGACGAGGGATCCACTAGGGAGCAAAAAGGCACAGAAGTTTCAAAGCTGACATCTTTCTGGTTAACTGATGGTACGTATGAATCTAGTAAAGATATGATTTAGGTGGAATTTGGGCCTCTGAGGATAACCCACAGATGTGATGTGTTTAAAAAAAATTAAAGTATATTATACTGCAGAAGGCAAGATTCTGCTTATTGAATAAGGCTGATTAGCCCCAGATGTTTATTCTGAAGCTTTTCTGGGGTCATGAACTCTCTTGAGGATAGGCTAAAACTTGATGACCTCCCTAGAAAAAGCAATGTACATTAAAAAATAGAACTAATTTCAGAGTGTCTATACTACCCTTAGGTTAACCATGACTCCTTTGGTATCCTTGGGTTCCAGGTAACCTTAGTGTACTTTAAGGGATGAGTCTCGAGTAACCAAGAACATGAGTTAGCTCTAGTATCAGCCTTATACCTAGCCTTTTGTTTAAAAAAAATATTTTATTCCATTATTTTCTTGTGTGTACTGTCAAATTGGATCTGACTGGTACAGGAGGAGATTGGCTCTCTTTTTCCAGCACAGCATCTGATAGATTCAAACCATGTACGTCTGAGATTGCAGTGCCACTAGGCCATCAGGACTCCCTATACCCAGCCTTTCTAAGGCTCACATTTAATTTTTAAAATGAGAAGTAATACTATATTACTCACTTCAAAATGATATGAACTGTTAGAAATGTTAACATGCAAAAAGAAAGAAGGAAAGCAGTCTTAGGATACAGTTTGCACTCGCTCTGAGGAATTCTATCTAGATTTTGAGGGAATCCCCACAGCATTGAATGCAGTCGCTGACTAGCCAAGCTGAGGCTGTGACTCTGAGATCCAAAGTGCTTTTCTCCTGAAGAGCCACCTTCTTCACCATCCTTCCTGTGGTCCACACCTTCCCCCTGTGCATACCTCAGATCAAACATCTCTCTACTGGGAGCAGTTCAACAGCACTCCTCACAGCAGAGCTGCTGTCACGTCTACATCATTCATGAGCAAAGAAAGTGTGATGCCTTCTGTTCTTTCTGTTCCCCTGGAAGCAAAATCCCAAGTAGGATAGAATTTCTGTAACATCTATGTCTTCTAAGCGACCTCATAGCTCCATTATTTTGCATTTGTGAGTGGATTTTGGAGAAGATTACTCTGGCCAAGACTTACAGACTGCTAAGAAATGATTTGAGACTTTCTATTTAGACAGAGAAAAGCAAACTTGCAGTGTATTATCCTATTATATAGAGATTGGAGTGACCTCTTTTTAATTACTGAAATTGAACACCTTAGCTAATGGAATAGAATCTTTATAAAGTAAAACCAAAATTAAGCAAAACAAAAACAAACAAACAAAAAATATGTACACTGCTGCTGAGCTAAACCAGCATACTTAAAACTGGTTCCCAAGAGTTCAACCTATAAAAGGTATTTATAGGAGCTCTGGTTGGCTAGTTGCAGGAAGCTGTACTGCAATCCCAGACGCATGCAGTTCTAATCCACCAGATGCCTGCTGGAAAAAGAGAGAATCTTTTCCTGTACCAGTCCAATCTGATATGATGCTATACACACAAAAATAATAAAATAAAGGTTGTTTGGGTTTTTTAAAAAGGTATTTATAAATGAAAACTACTCTGAGTGTGAGCTATATGCTAGACTACTGATGTGTCGGGCTGCATATTCCTTTGCTAACCAAAGGGTCAGTGGTTCAAATCCACCAGGTGCTCTGTGGGAGAAAGATCTACAGACTTGGAAGTGAGATGGAGGGTTCCATGAGTTGAAATAGACACAAAGGCAGTGAATTTTCATTTTTTGCTTTAGGATCCTTTGCGGACTCCCTGTGTTGTACAAACTATAATACCCTCAGCTGCTAACCAAAAGGCTAGAAGTTCTAACCCTCTCAGAGACACCTTAAAACCATGGTCTGGAGATCGGAAAACAGCAGCCACCGAACCTCTATGCATCACAGTTCTCCTCTGACACATCTGGAGTCCCACAAGTTGGAACTGATTCACTGACAACTGGTACTGGGAAGCATCTGCTGCTACATGTTTTAACATCATCTCTAATCTTACAGAGCTCTAGTGGCTTAGTAGCAAGAAGTTGTGCTGCAATCCTGAAGGCATGTGGTTTGAGGCCACCAGCTGCTTCAAGGGAGAAAGATGAGCAATCTCCTCCCATGTGATTAAATGCCTCTGAAAAGCCACCAGAGGAATGACACACACCACCACCATCACCACCACCAACAATAATCTTATGGCAGAATCGAAACTCTATGTATATGTATACTGTCATTCCCATTTCAGAGAGTTGGAAACAATAATTCCGGGGAATTATGTCATTTGCATTAGGCAATTCAGCCAGTGTTTCTGTATATGTGCTTGTGTGTGTGTGTGTGTGTGTGTGTGTGTGTGTGAGAGAGAGAGAGAGAGAGAGAGAGAGAGAGAGAGAGAGAGAGAGAGAGAAGTGGGGGGATAGAAAAAGAGAGAGAAGGTTGGGGGGAGGAGTGCTAGCTGTCTCAATTTGCATAGAAATGCCATGCAAATTGG